AGAGGGGCACCAATTCCTGGTTGCACTCAAAGCGCGTATCACGAAGCACCAAGTTCACCTAGCAAGTAGCACGAAGCACCAAGTTCACGTGGCACGTAGCAGAGAGGAGAGAGAGTTGCACCAATCGGTAGCACGTAGCTCGTAAAAAGGACGTAGCGCCAAAGCACTTAGCACCGAGAGAGAAAGAGAGGAGTTGGACAAATTCGTAGGACGTAGCTCGCAGAATCTTGCACACGTAGCACGTAGCTCGTAGAATCTTGCACACGTAGCACGTAGGTAGTAGAATCTTGCACACGTAGCACGTAGCTCGTAGAATCTTGCACACGTAGCACGTAGCCCCACGCACGAAGCACAAAGGACAAAGCACGAGGCACCAAATCCCAATAGCACCAAAGCTCGAAGCACGTAGCACCAAAGCACGAACAACGTAGCCTCAAAGCACAGAACACGTAGCACCGAGGCCTGAAGCAAAGGCCGAAGAACGTAGAAGCGGTTCACGTAGCACACAGAGAGAGAGAGAGAGAGAGAGAGAGAGAGAGAGAGAGAGAGAGAGAGAGAGAGAGAGAGAAACAGCAGCACCAAAGCTCGAAGCACGCAGCACAGAGAGAGAGAGAGAGAGAGAGAGAGGGGGGGGGGCGCAGGTAGCTCTCGTAGGGTAGGTCGCGCAGGGCAGATGCGGGTAGGCCGCCTGGGTACATCCGCTACCGTAGGTCGGTAAACAACGCTAGGCCACGCGGGATAGGCCTCATAGGTGAACTACATCCCGTAGTGCAGGCTGGTCGTGTAGGCAGGTGCATCCGGTAGTCCAGGTACATTGCGTAGGTTTCCTTTTCTCTTTTTTTCTTTTTTTTTTCTTTTTTTTTTCTCTTTTTTTTTCTCTTTTTTTTTTCTCTCTCCCCCAACGGCCAAGTTCAAATCCAGATGGCCCGCTAGGTATTGCGACATGCACAAAAGACAAAAATCGTGGTGGTGTATCTTTCCATGTTGGAGCGGAAGATTCACGCTCGTTTTGCACATTTCGGGCCTCGCCACACCACTGTGGCTACACGAATGGAAGATCAACTGCCTAATGATACAAGAGTCTAAGGGTAGGACCCCACAGGATGGCGGCAAACGGTAAGGGAAGTCTTCTACTTCCAGCCGACTGCCCACCGCCAACGGAGATGATGAAACAGAGGGGACCCCACCACCACCGCGAAATGTTGCTTTTGCTTCGGAGGCGGTCACCCAAAAAGGAAATTCCGAGGCAGTTTTCCTTTTTGGGAAAGGTAAGGGCCTGGAAGGCCATTCCAGGTCCCTTGTCATTGGTTGTAATGGAAGGGCTGCGACTTCCGTCCGGATGTGCCGGCGTACGCACCCGGGAGGTAGATAAACGGACCGACTTTTGGAAAACGGGAATTCAGGGCCACGTAGGAATAAGGGGGCCGCAGACAAAGTGGAAACGGTCGGCCGACGACTTCCGCGGCGGCAAAATCCGTATGTGGGGTTTCGGAAGTTGCCTCCCAATTTCCGAAACCGTTTGCCGCCATCCTGTGGGGTCCTACCCTAAGTTAAACGAGGTCAAGCTGCAAGAGTTAGCCTCTTGGTGGGACGGACCCCAGGTATGGGCCCCTGCCCAGGGTACTCGCGGAGGGGTCGGTATCCTGCTCCACCGTGACCTTCAAGCATTGGTGATCGACTCAGAAGTAGATATGTGGGGCCGGTGGGCATGGATGAAGGTGGAGATAGCGAACAAAGAGTGGGTGTTTATGACGATTTATGCCTCGAACGGGGTAGGAGAAAGGGCGAGTTTTTTTCAAAGACTGGTGACACAGATCCCGAAGACGGACAAACTGATGTTAGCAGGGGATTGGAACCTCTCTCTTGATGAGGCCCTCCGCCTGGGCTCACAGTCAACAGATAGAAGAGATGTGCGGACCCTCTTGGAACTCAGTTCAGAGCTGTCTCTTACAGACCCATTCCCGGTGCTGAACCCGGACGACCCAGGTTTTACCTGGTTTTCACACCTGCACAGGAACAGGCAAGAGGTGGCGAGGCGACGTCTCGACTTCTTTCTGCTGAGTGAGCAGGTCACAGAAAGGATAACATCGGTGAGGCAAACCTGCAACCCGATATCAGACCACAAGCCGGTAGTTGCAGATTTCAGACTGCACTTAGGGGTAGAAAGAGGGAGAGGCTTCTTCCGCCTCAACAGCCAGATCCTGGAGGAGCCAGGCATCAAGTCATGGGTAGAATCTCACATGTCCAGATGGGAGGAGGCCAAACCACTGTTTGAATCACAGGCAGACTGGTTAGATGGGGGGATTGCTATCACTTCGGGGGTGTTAAACGTCTGCTCCAGAATCCTTGCAAGAACCCGAAACAGGAGGGAACCAAATTGCAGAAGGCGGGTGGAGGAAGCGGAAAAGAAAATGGAAGGACATTCAATCTCGACAATGGTGTAGGTGACAAAAAGGGAAAGGAGAATGACATAATGGGAAGGCTTGGAGGCGGTGAAGCAGAAAAGATGGACGGAGCTCCTACAAGAAAAAGGGATTAAAACCAACGACATCATGTCCAAGGAGACCTTCCAGAAGCTGCAGCCAAGACGAACACACCAACAGATGATTGAGCTGAAGCACCCGTTCATCGCCTCCGCTCCTCCAGCCTGCTCGGAAGCAGGTATGCTCCAGTATGCAAGGTTGTACTACGCCGACATCCTAACGACCGGACGCCCGCAGGAGGATGTGAACACAGACCTGACACAAACGTCCGACATGTGGAACGACACAATAATCCGATAACAGGCAGTGGCAAGGTTGGACCTGGACAGACCTCTCTCCTTGGAGGAAGTCACCCAGACGCTGAAATCAATGGCCAAGGGCAAGTCACCAGGGGTTGATGGGCTAACAGTCGAATTTTACGCCGCCAATTGGGGAATGTTCAGGCCACCGGTGGTGGAACTAAACAACGAAGTCTTAGTCGGAGGCAGACTGGGGAAGGGGATAACACACGGTGTGATAACGGTGTTGTTAAAAAAAGGGAACAAAGCGGAAGTGAGGAACTGGAGACCGATCTCGCTGCTGAATGTGTCCTACAAGATCCTAGCCAAATTTATAGCCCGACGGTTAGGGAGGTACTTACCGGAGCTTGTGGAGAAGGATCAGGGGGCGTTCGTTCAAGGAAGAACTATATTCAACAACATCGTGACAGCCATAGAGACGCTAGAAATAATACAGGGGGAGAATCTGGACACCGCAGTGCTCCTTTTGGACTTGGAGAAAGCCTATGACAAGGTGGGATGGACCTTCGTCCTCACCACCTTGAGAAGGATGGGCTTCGGAGAAAGCTTTTGCGCATGGATCATCGCCATGTACACGTTCTCAACCTTTGCTGCAATGATCAACGGTCACCTTTCGGAGCCGTTTACACTGTCACGATCACTGAGGCAAGGTTGCCCCCCGACCCCACTCATTTTCGTCCTCTAGATGGAGGTGTTGTTAAACAGGATTCGTCGTCATCCGGATATCAAGGGGCTGCAACTTCACACCGGAGAAGAATGTCGCGTCAAAGCGCTGGCGGATGACCTGTTTGCGGTCTGCGAAAACTCGGTACCAGCACTGAACGCTCTAAAGGCTGTCATGACTGAGTACTCAGTCCTGTCGGAAGCCTCAGTAAACTGGGGCAAATCGGCATACATGCTGCCAACCCAGTTTACACTGAAGGTGGGATGGGGAATGAAGAGAATAGTTGCAGGAGATGAGGAAAGATTTCTGGGTATCTTGATAAGCCTGCAGATAGGTGCCTCAGGACAGGGGTTGTTGCTGCAACAGCGGGTGGCGGCAAGACTACGAATATGGGGATCGGCCTGGCATCTATCAATCGTAGGTCGGGCAATGGTAATCAATGCTGCCCTGTTCTCGATCTTGTGGTTCGTCACGACAGTCAAGGAATTGGCCGAAGGGATTGTGAAAGCCATCAGAAGACTGATCGCCATATTTTTGTGGAAACAGCGGGCGCAGAATGGGGAAGGATTTGTATCCAAAGTAGCGCTAGAAACGCTATCCTTTCCTCGAGAGAAAGGGGGTCTGGGGCTGGTAGATCCATCTCGCAAAAACCAGGCTCAACTCTGGGGCTGGCTGGTGAAGGTAGCTACTGCAACCACTCGTGACCATTGGATCACCTTGGCAGAGCGTATTCTTATGGGGGAATGGAATCTGAGTCGCCCACAGGATGTCTGGGCATGCTTTTTCATGGCTTCATTCAGGAGAAAGAGACTCAAATCAGCATTCTGGAAACCAGTCCGCAAGGCATGGAAGAAGATGCCGACAGAGGTTATGCAGCCACCTGCCACGAGGAAAGAAGTTCTATGCCAGATACTATTTGAAAATCCTACAATTTTAACCGAAGTCGGCACTCCTTTTGCAACAGACGAAACAGCGGGATCCTTTGGACAAGCATGGGTAAGGCGGGGAGTAGTAAGGGTATCAGACATCTGGTGTCCTATCCTGGGAGGGTGGAAGCCGATTGGAGAGGTTAAAACAACACTGAGGGGCCTGCAGCGAGTGGAACAGCACTGGCTCCACATTACTAAGGCAATCCCTTAGTCCTGGATGGACCTGCTGGGACCAGAAGGGAGAGATCCGTTAGGTACCTGGTGGAAATCAGACACTGAGGAGGATGCAGTTGTGGTATGGAAGGTGCTGGACATTCTCCCCAGTGGGTTCAGGAGAGTGGAGCGGTGGAGGTGCGTGGACTTCTCAAACTCCCTTCTCCGGATTGAGGAAGTAACAGTAAGGATCTGGGACAACCCACCATAGGTGAGAGTAGTTGAAAAACGCAGTCGAGGCTCAACATCACCTGAACAGATATGGGTAGGCAGGGTTCCGCTCAGACAGTTATCCATAGACCCTCATGTATGGAGCTGGTCAACCAGGGACGCGGACAACCCACTGTTGAGGATGTTGGACTACACCACAGCACAGGGTTATCAACTGGCAGCCAAAGATACTAAGACCCCTGCCCAGATAGCTATCGCGCGCTGGCAGGCTGTATGCCACGAAGATATGTTAGGAGAACAGGCAAATTTTGAACGGCTATGGAAATTCTTGACGGGTCTGCCGAATGGCAAACAGGTGAGCATACTCTAGCTCCTCTCTCTACTAACTACTCCCTCGGCGGTGTGGTTAACGGGCAGAGGACTGGAGGTAGATCTGGGGTGTTCAAGATGCATGTGGCCTTTTGAGTCCACACGTCACTTGTGGTGGGGCTGCCCAGCGTCCAAGAGAATCTGGAACTGGTGGGCCCACCACTGGAGAGAATTTGGAGGAACAAAAGTGTCTTGGGATGAAAATGGGTGCTGCTGGGTTTCCTCCCAGCAACTATCGATGGCAGACGGAGTTGGGGATACGTGGTGCACGTCATAAGAGGCCTGA